TGTGTGTGTGTGTGTGCAGTCGCTACGAGTCAAAATCAGTCCCATGGCATGTGTGTGTGTGTGTGTGTGTGTAGTCGCTACAAGTCAAAATCAGTCCCATGGCATGTGTGTGTGTGTGTGTGTGCAGTCGCTACGAGTCAAAATCAATCCCATGGCATGTGTGTATGTGCGCAGTCGCTACGAGTCAAAATCAACCCCATGCAGTGTGTTTGGGCGTTGCAGTTTTGGAATGGCTCAGTGCCTTAAAATGGGATTCTGGCGTCTTGATGTGTTTTGAAAACAAAGTATGTGACCCATGGAATAAAGGACACTAATCCAGAATTTAAAATTATGAAAATTTTAGGTCAAAGAGGTGAAGAATAACAGCTGTTGGGACTGAAAAATGGCTGTAGGAACTGTTACAAGTGCTCCACCGACACGTCGTCCTCACGTTTACTTAATGCCCTATCACAACACAAAGCCTGCAGCTGCAGTGACTCAGCGAGTTGTCTTATCTAACAAAAATCATTTCGATACATTTCGTGGTATGGGGTTATCCTGTATGTTTCCATTTGGGTACAAAACTCAGAAAAGAACATTGGCCCATTATGTAGTGACACATTTTTTCTTCTTCTCATGTAAGAGTTCCAAGTGCTCTGTGTTCCAATTTTTACCCCCCAAAACGGCAGCAGCAGCAGCAAAGCTCCCCTGTTTCGGTTAGCTTACTCTGTTTATACCTCTGAACCCGCGGCATGGAGTACGGGGCATCTGGGCGAAAGAAAACACAGACGAGATCTTTGCTTGCTGACGTCTGGGATTTATAACAGGGAAGAGCTGACGGTAATGAGGGAGGAACGCTCCAGGCTGACGTCATGTGTTCACGGAAAGTTGTGAAAAGAGCGGTACAAAAATATGCACTTGTGCTTTAGAAGCCTTTAGCGTACAAGTAATGCTTAAAATAGTAGTTACTGCCCCTCTATGCCTGTGTTCTCATTTATTTACATATCGCAATCTTTTTTTAACAATAAAGCAAAACAGCATGATCTCAAATATAGATAGGTTAAAAACATCTGAAACATGAAATTTCCCGCTCTGCCCTCCCCAAATACACATGTATAGCTGGCACATGGCAAAACACGCTCTGTGGATGGAACCCCCAGAAAATTTAGATTTTTTTTTTTAATAAAAATTTTAAACAGCAAATGTATATAAATTTTTCTTTTATAAAAGCTTGTCCAAGGGCATTCTGACTTAATGGCTTGTATGTAATACTTAGTGTGGTGCCTTGTGGCTGCCTCTGTGAACCAGAAATCAGCAAAGCTCATGGATTCCCTGCAAACGCGGTGTCATTCCCTCCCTCCCTCCTTCGCGGCGCATGGCTGCCCTTGAGCAGGATCTTACCGGGAAGGAGGCTGCGCAGGCTGCTGACCTCAGTCTAGGCAGCATTCACCAAGCCACGGCTGTGTTCTAACTTGACTCCCTATCGACCACTTAGCTGGGGAGGCTGTGATGCTAGTTTAGTAATGAGTTGGCCCTCTTGAGCAGTTTTCCCTCTTAGCTCTCTCTGTTCAGATGGGCTTCTTCTGAACCCTTGAGGCAGATGCTCTTGGGGAAAAGAGCTAAACTCTACTGGTGGCTGTTTTGGGAGCAGAACAGTAGCTAACTGAGTGGCCGTCGTCCAGGGGGATGGGCTGACATGCACCAGGACACTGCTGTTGGTGTCTTAATTACGATAAAGTGCCTCCATGGCTTGAAAAGGGCTCACGGGATGCCAGCAGCATACAGGAGTTTGCCAGGTATTTCTTCTGCTACCAAGTGATTGTTTAAAAACAAACAAATAAAAAAGCCCCCACCATTTTCCTGCGTGGAACATTCTAAAAATGAGATCTGGGGACTTAAATCGATTCAAGGTCAAATATCAAACCCCGACTCCTTAACCCAAGGTCTTGCCATTTCCATTATAAAGGACAACCTCTTGCTTATACGCCTGTGGTTCACGGTGCCTTCTGTAGATCAGGAAGTCCCGTAGTCGGCTTGACGTTAGTTGTCCGATGGCAGCCTCAGACTCTTGCACTTCAGGTCATCCAATGTCTTCCAGTGTCTGTAGTTATCAGCCAGATGTTGCATCAGGGCTGGCAGATGGGCGAAGGCTGCAGGGACATCAAGGAACCCTGTTAGGTTATTAGCTCACAGGAGCATGTGTAAGGCTGGGGCTGGCAGGGACACCTTTGAGATCAGATTCAGAGGAGCAGTACGGTGTCCTGGGTCAAGCCTTAAGCGCAGAAGTGGCAGCACGAGAAGGCTGCCAAGAAGTCCAACGGGCAGCACCCAAATGATGGAGCCCATCATCCCTCAGCCTAACTTGAAGGTGAATTTGTTTGTCAAACGGAACAGTGGGAACTGCTCACATCTAAAGTCAGCAAAATGCTTGCCTTTAATATACGTAGCGTATAGCTTTCTATGCATACAACTCAGGAAAACTTCCAGTTACTAAAACATCTCTAACAAATAATACGGTGATAATAATGTTTGGGTGCATGCGACAAAGTAGCACCTCTGTGACTATGAACCATTGTATGGAGCCTGAATTTTTCATGCTTTCTGGGGGATGGTCTGTAACTAAGGGTTGTACATGTGTGGGAGGAACGGGACCTGCCTTTGTTGCCCTGAGACCGCCTGCAGGTTCTGGGTCACTCTCACTGCCACAGCCCGGATTCCAATTCTGTGCGGCCCCACATGACTGGTGGGACCACCCCTGTGGGTTTCCGACACTGAGCTCCTCATTGGAGTAGAAATCCCCATCTTCCTCCCTTGTAGTAGCGGTGGCTTTGCTAGCAGCCCCACATGTAACCCAGGACACCGTCAGGGCTTTCTATGTACTGGCATTCAGATTCTTTTCGTTAAAACTTGAGAAATCAAGTTTGTCAGTGGCATTATCCAAAGAACATGTGACTTGCGTAGACGCCGTACATGTTTGCCGTACATGTTTGCTTGCATTCGAGAGGTTCCCGCTAATGAACTGCTGTGAGCTTTGGGAGTGTGTCCCTTGAAAAGGATAAGATTTTTAGAAATCCACTTATCACATATCCAAGGGGTCTTGTGTGCACACGCACTGTCCTGGAGGACGCAAAAAGGGCACCTGCCTCTTGCCCTGGCCACAGAGAGCTGACAGCTCATGTTTCCTGTGTGGAGCATGTATCGGTAGGTCCATCCGATACCATTTAAAGATCATCAACTTAGAGGATAAGAACATACTCCTTTGTGGGTGGTAAAACAAGGACTTTCTTACCGTCCCAAGCATCAAACATGTCTGTGATGAAGTAGTCAATGAAGGAAATCTGGGACTTGGGGATGCTGCAGGTGTTCCGGTCAAACACCGGCATCACGACGGGCAACCCCTGCCTCTTCTCTTCATCGGTCTGTAAGGAAGAAACACAGCACATGAGGCCTAGAGCACACGAGAAGCTATCGACACAGCATCCTGTTGCTTAGAACCATCCTGAGAAGGAGAGTCTTTATCTAACTTGATATATGAAGCAGTGGCATCAACGCTTCTGTGAGTCGGGTGGCTTCAGCGCCTAAATGCAGGGGTCTGACTTTCCAGTGCCCGTTTGTGTGCGATTCCACGGCCCTTCCTGAAGCTTTGATTTCGGGGTGATCACCTACCTCCTTTCTGTAAGCTGTCTATTCTCAGAGCCTTCTTAACAAGCACTAATTCTATGTCATGCTCACGTCAGAGGAATTGCCTGTGTTCCCAGAAGCCCTCGGTTGGAAATCTGGGAATCCTGTTTTGCAAGCATATTTTTCCCTAAGTCACCATCATCATTTTGTAAACACTTACTTTCTATTTGAGCCCTTGGTACCAGCTCCTCTTTTTACCCTCTCTCCGTCCTCCCACCCTCTTGACCCCTTGATAACTTATAAGTGGTTATTGTTTTCATGTCTTACCCTGGCTTCTGTCTCCTTTCACCCGCCTGTCCACCCTTTCCCCGGCTTCAGTGACCACCCTGGCAGTCATCTTCTCTGCACTCGGGTCTCTGGCTGCGTTCATTGTCTTCGGCCTCTTTTACATCAGCACCGATTCTAGATGCTTATTTTTCTTTGAGAATTTCCCTTCATACATAGAGATATGTCCCACCTCCCCTGCTCCTGTCATCCTTCTCCTTTTGCTTTCTGCATTTTCAGAGGAAAGCAATCCCACTGTTCCTGATGTCTCATTTGGTAACTCGGCAGTAGGAGCTTGGGGGAGGAGGACTAGGTAGAGACAGGCCTCACTAGGGACTCTGGGTTGTTTTCGTGGCGTTTGTACTTACTCTGGCCCAAACCAGAGTCCAGCAAGTCAAGGAGCTAATGAGAACTGAAGCCAAGGAGGAACAGACTCTACAGAGCTAAATGAAGAGGGAGGCTGAGGAAAACCAGTTGCGTTCCCTCGAGTTCTTTTTGTTGCGTTACGGTTCTGGAGAAGACTTCCAGCACAACGTTGAATAAGCGTGACGATGAAGGGGCCACCCTCGTCTATCCTAGTTTCAGGGGAAATGTTTTCAGTTTTTCCCCATGGGGCCGGACATTGGCCACTGAATTTTTGTCGAGGAGTTTCCCTCTGTTTTTATTTGAGTGTTTTTATTAGCAATGGGTGTTGGATGTTGTCAAATGCTATTTATGTGCCTATTGATAGGATCACATAGTTCTTATTCTTCGTCTTGTGGATGTGGTAGATTGCAGGGATCGCTTTTGGAATGCTGAGCCATCCTTGCATCCTTGGTATGAATCCCACTTGGTCATAATGCTACCTTTTTTTTTGAGACAGCGTTGGAATGTATTGGCCAAAATTATGTTGAGAATTTTTGCATCTATGTACCTGAGGGATACTGGTGTGCAGTTTTATGTTTTTGTACAGGGTTATTCTTTCTTCATAGAATGAGTTTAGGAGTTTTCTGCTCCTTTCTATATATTCTGGAATAGTCTGTATATGGTGACAGCTCTTCCCTGAATACTTAGGAGAATTCCCCTGTGAAGCCATCTGGTCTGGACTTGTCTTGGTTGGAAGTATTCCTTTTTTTAACCTGTGTTTTACTGACTACAAAAAGGCATCTGACTATATGGACATAAACCATGAACAACATTGTGAAGAATGGAAATTCCTGCACGTCATTATGCACATGCAGAACTGCACATGGACCAAGAGGACACAGAGCACAGACTACTGGATGGTTTAAAACCAGAAAAAGTGTACCTGTTTACCGTACTTACTCACTTTGCATGCTCAGCGTATACTCCAGCTCAGTGGTTCTCAACCTGTGGGTCGCGACCCCTTTGGGAGTCAAATGACCCTTTCACAGGGGTCGCCTAAGACCATCAGAAAACACATATCTCCGATGGTCTTAGGAAACGAGACACCGCCCCTCTATCCATCGCCAGGCAGGTCCGCGCATATGCAGATACACCCACATATGAGTACCCTGCGCGAACACTGTTACCCATGCTACACCATGCTTCAAGACAAAATTTCATTTATTTGTCATTAGAAATAAATATTTCACAATATATAAAAAGATATTGTCTTTGTGGTGAATCACTATGCTTTAATTATGTTCAACTTGTAACAATGAAAATAGATCCTGCATATCAGATATTTACAGTATGATTCAGAACAGTGGCAAAATGATAGTGATGCAGTAGCAACAAAAGTAATGCTCTGGTTGGGGGTGACCACCACATGAGGAACTGTAAGGGTCACGGCAGGAGGCAGGCGGAGACCTGCTGCTGTAGCTGGACTAAATGAGGAAGGATGCAGAGTCACCACTGGAGGCACGCGAGACCACCTCACTCCCTGAAGGCCAACAGGACTTCACGCCCTGTCTGATGCAAATTAGAAACACTGCCGCCTTCCCTAAGGATGAAAGCTTACTGGTAAGAAAACAGAAGTCCTCACAGTTAACTCGGAAGACATCATGCTCGATGGAGAAAAGAGAGACATTGTCAAGATTTCATTTCACTCAGTGCTCATGGAAGCGGCTGTCGAGAAATCAAAAGGTGGACTGCATTCAGAAATCTAGTGCACACGACCACTGGACAGTGTTAAGAGAGCAATGGCATCCTTTTGAAGACTAAGGAAGGCCTGGCCCCACCACGGTCTTTTCGGTGCCTGACAGCTGTGTGTAAGCTGGACACTGAATAAGAAACACTGAAGAACCGATGCACCTGAATTACGGTGTTGGTGAGGAACAGTGAAAGGAACATGGGCCACCTGGAGAACAAACATGTATTGGCCTGGGAGGCAGCCCAGCCAGGACATGTCCTACAAGGCAGCAGCGTGGTGAGACGGCTTCCCCTCGTGTCCTTTGAGCTGTTATTAGGAGGCCCCAGCCCTGGAAAAGGTCATGATAAATACAGAATCAGTGACAAAGAGGAAGACCCTCGAGGAGATGGACTAACACAGTGGCTGCAAATGGGCTCACACCTCATTGTGAGGATGATGTGGGCTGGCCAGTGTTTCATTCTGTCGTCTGTAAGATTGCCAGCAGTTGGAGATGTCTTGACAGCACCTGTATTAGTCTAGGTACTTTAGAGAAACAAATCCACAGCAACTCATGTATAAGAGAGTTTTATGTAAAGAAAGTGTGCATCACGAAAACATCCCAACCCAATGCTGCCCAAGCCCACAAGTCCAACATTAACCCATTAACCCAACACCAGTCCATAAAATCCTCCACCTCACAAAACAGAGGCAATGATGCCGACTGCAGGAGGAAAGCTGAGTCAGTGAACGAATAAGCATCTCAGCACTAGCAGGGGTCTCCACACGGCTGCTCCAGCACCCAGGGCTGCATCGGGATAGGTCCATGTGGCTTCTCCTTGGGGATGTCTTGTAGGAAGTAAATCTTGCAAGCTGAAGCAGGGAACTGCCAAGGCAGCTGCACCCTGGTGCGACCATCACAAAGCAAGAGACCTGAGAGCTAGAAAGGCGAGGCTCACCACCCATTTATCCCTCCGCCTTTCAATTAGCCCCACATGTGATTATTGGCCAGGTTGGCACAATTAATTAACTCCGCACCTAACAAGAAGTTTGTGGTTCCCCAGGGTTTGGGTTTTACATCTCTTAAAATTGCCTCCAATTTCTTTTAGTGGTTCCTGGCACCTGCTTACGTATTTTTGTTATGCACCATCTCTTTTATTTAAAGCATTCAGTGGAAGGAACAAGACCATTTTTATCTCTCTCAACCCTTCTATGGCTACTTGGTACCTATAATTATGGTTCTATTACACATACTGAATGATGCTGGAAGCCTTCAAATAATATACAAAGAATACACTGTATCATAAAGAACTAGAGTCATTGTAACAAAGGAGACAGAAATAATCCACTGTGCCATTCTACCATTTCAGGAGGCAGCATATGAGCAAGAACCAGTAGTGCTGAAGGAAGAAGTTCAAGCTGCACTGAAAGAATTAGCCAAATACATGGCTCCAGGACTTGCTGGTATGCCAACTGAAATGTTTCCACAAGCAAGCTGACAGAGAGCGCTGGAAGTACTTACTCGTTTATGACAGAACATTTGAAAGATAGCTCTACTTGGCCAACTGAGTGGAAGAGATCCATATTTGAATCCATTCCAATGAAAGGTAACCCAACAGAACGATCAAACTATAGAATGATATGATTGATATTCAGGTAGCAACAGTACATCGACAGGGAGCTGCCAGATGTTTAGGCCAGATTCCAAAGAGGACCCAGAACAAGGGATATCATTGCTGGTGTCAGATGGATCTTGGCTGAAAGCAGAGAACACCAGAAAGATATTTACTTGTATTTCATTGACTGTGCAAAAGCACTTGATCGTGTGGATCATGAGAACTAAGGAGAGCCTTTGAAGAATGGGAATTCCAGAAGACTTCACTGCGCGCCTGTGGAACGTGTACATGGACCAAGAGGCAACTGTGCAAACAAACAAGGGCATACTGCTAGGTTTAAAATCAGGAAAGGTGGGCATCGGGGTTTTATCTCCTCATCATACTTATTCAGTTTGTATGCTGAACAAATTACTAGAGAAATTAGATTATATGAAGAAGAATGTGGAACCAGGGTTGGAGGAAAACTTAATAACAACCTGTGCTATGCAGATGACACAACCTTGCTTTCTGAAAGCGAGGAGGACTTGCACTTACTGATGAAGAGCAAGGATTGCATGCAACCTGCAGTGTGGCTTACAACTCAATAAAAAGAGGAAGAGGAAGAAGAAGAAGAAATCCTTATAAGTGGACCAAATAAGTACTATCATGATAAATGGAGACATGGTAAAGTTTTCGAGACTTTTGTCCTGCTTGGGTCCACAATCACTGCCCAGGGAAGTAGCATTCAAGAGATAAAAAGATGAGTTACATTAAGTAAATCTGCTGGGCAAGACTTCTTTAGAGCATT